TTTTTTTTTTTGGTTGCAGCCATCGTTGTTGTTTGGTGGGCCCGGGCTGGATTCAAACTCACCACCTTGGGTGTACATGGCTGGCACCTTAGCCACTTGAGCCACAGGCGCCGAGCCAACCTCAAACTCTTGAACTTGAGTAATCCTCATGCCTTAGCCTCCCAGGTAGCTGAGACTATAGGTGCCCAGCACAACCCTGGCTAGTTTTTCTATGTTTAGAAGAGATGGGGTCCCTCTCTTACTCTGGTTGATCTCAAACTCCTGTACTCAAGCATTCCACTTGCTTTGGCCTCCCAGAGTGCTAGGATTACAGGTGTGAGCCACCATGCCCAGCCTGAGACTGGCTTCTTCCACTAAGCATAATGGTTTCAAGATTCATCCATGGTATAGCATGTATATCAGTACTTCATTCTCTTATGGCCAAACAGTAATTCATTGTATGGATATACCACATTTTGTCTGTTGACATTTGGGTTGTTTCCACATTTTAACTATATTGAATAAGGCTGCTATGAACATTCATGTACAAGCTTCTGTGTAAGCATAGTTTTCCATTCTCTTAAGTATATACAATTAGGAGTGGAGTCACTTGGTTATATGAATAACTCTTCAACTTCTTGCCAGACTTTTCCAGGATATATGCCCCATGTTACATTCCCACCAGCAATGTTTGAGGGTTCCAGTTTCTCCATTAGCAGTTGCTATTTACTGGTAATTTTCTGGATCTTAGCCATCCTAGTGAGTGTGCAATGTTATGTCATTGTGATTTTAATTTGCAATGTCTTCATGACTAATGATTTTGAGCATCTTAATGGCCATGTGCTGATTGGCCATTTGCTTATCTTCTTTGGAGAAATGTCTATTCGAGTCTTTCACCTGCTTTTAAAATGGGTTATTTGGCTTTGTATGGTGAAGCTATAAGAATATTATATATATCCTGATATTAGACTCTTAGCATATGATTTGAAAACATTTCTCCCTTTCTATGGGTTGTCTTTTTTTTTTTTTTGATAATGTTCTTTTGAAGCATAGACATTTTAACTTTTGATGAAGTCCAATTTCTATATTTTTCCTGTCTTATTTTATTTTATTTTATTTTATTTTATTTTTTGAGACAGAGCCTCAAGCTATCCCCCTGGGTAGAGTGCTGTGGCATCACAGCTCACAGCAACCTCCAACTCCTGGGCTCAAGCGAGTCTCCTGCCTCAGCCTCCCAAGTAGCTGGGACCACAGGCACCCGCCACAACGCCTGACTATTTTTTGGTTGCAGCCGTCATTGTTATTTGGTGGGCCCGGGCTGTATTTGAACCCACCACCTTAGGTGTATGTGGCTGGCACCTTAGCCACTTGAGCCACAGGCGCCGAGCCTCCTATCTTATTTTAAATTGAAGCTCTTTTCATGTCAGCACCTGCAGGCCAGTGTCATTCCTTATCTGCGTGGAATTCCATTGTACGGAATTCTAACATAATTTCTTCAGACTTTTTTTGGAGACAGTCTCACTATGTCACCCTCGGTAGAGTGTTGTGGCATCACTGCTCACAGCAACCTCAAACTGTCAGGCTTAAGTGATTCTCTTGCCTCAGCCTCCCAAGTAGCTGGGACCATAGGCGCCTGCCACAATACCGGCTATTTTTTTGTTGTAGTTGTCATTGTTTAGCAGGCTCGGCCTGGGTTTGAACTCACCAGCCGCAGTGTATGTGGCCAGTGCCCTAATCTCTGAGCATAGGTGCCAGGCCAGACTTTTTTTTTTTTTTTTTTTTAATTAATGGACTTGTTTTGTTTTGTTTTCAGTTTCTGGCTATACAGATAGTACTGCAGTGACCTTTCCTAAGCACATCTTAATCCCTCTTATAAGTAACTTTATAGGCTAAACTCTAAAAGTAGAAATGCTGGCTCACAAGGGCTAGGTGTTTAGGATCTTGGTAGCTGTAACCGGATTTCCCTCTTCACAGTGTGAATGCCTGTTGCCTCCCCTTCCTACCTACACACAACTATACTGGCTCTGATGAAGCCTTGATTTTATGGTAAAGTTCCATTTAGAGGTATATCATTTACTTAATCCTTCCCCTTCACAACACAGGCAGATACAGAACTTTACCCACTGACTTTCTTCTTCTGTTTTTTTTTTTTTTTAAATTGAGACAGAGTCCTATTTTGTCACCCTCGATAGAGTGCTATAACATCATAGCTTACAGCAGCCTCAAACTCTTGGGCTCAACCAATTCTCTTGCTTCAGCCTCTCGAATAGCTGGGACTACAGGTGCCCGCCACAATGCCCAGCTATTTTTTTTAAGAGACGGGTTCTCGCTCTAGCTCAGGCCAGTCTTGAACTCCTGAGCTCAGGCAGTCCACCTACCTTGGCCTCCCAGAGTGCTAAGATTATAGGCATGAGCCACTGCGCCCGGCCCTACCCATTTACTTTCTCACCCTTGTGTATGTGTCTCCCTACAGGGCCACGAGTATATCACCAGTGTTGGAAGCTTGAGAATTGCAACTTTGCAGACATTTCACGGCTCTTAGGGGAGAATGAGCTGCGATACTACTGCTGCAGTAAGGACCTGTGTAACCATGCTGAAAACGACGGGACCACCTTATCCGGGAAAACAGTTTTTGCGCTGGTGACCCCCTTTCTGGCAGCAGCCTGGAACTTTTATCTCTGACCAACACCAGGGGTACCTATAATCTCCCCCACTGCTGTACATCCCCCCCCCCTTGCCTTGCTACTGCATTCCAAAGGCTTTATATTCTCCATCTGGAGTCTGTTGGAGAAGAAGTAAATGAGCTCCAGCAACTTGAGTAAGAGAATGAGGGACTCCGAGACTTTGAAAACCAGTTCTATTTGCAGAGAAGCCCCACTTGAGGGAAGAAGTTTAAGAGGGAAGCAGATGTTACTAGAACTAGGATCATGCTTCTTCCTCTGCTCTCTGGAAGACCAGCTTTGCAGTGATAGCTTATACAGGTTCCCTGCAACTCTTAGGTATTACCTCTCTGATTCCCTGAATATAGTTGAATAGAATGAGTAGCATATGGGAAAGTTATGCCAGGGGAATTCTTTTAAGCCTTCTCTCATATATGGAATGGTTTGTTAAGCCTCAGGGCTCCTGTGTGACCACAGATGTTCCAGATGTGGGCCGTCAGTCTGGGGGGGGGATGCAGCAAGAGCAGGGCAAGAAAGCCTGGCATGGAAGGAGATAAGAAACACAAGGTCCATATAGAAAGATACCTGACATTTGAGTTCTATCTCTAAATTTTGTATGGGCTTTGCATTCTTCCACTGGAAAAAATTAATAGCATAAATTAATAATAAGTTAAAACAATTCCCTCTGCCTTTTTTTTTAATAGGAACCATGGGATACCTTGGCTCTGCCACACACAATTAAACAATGAACCTTATATGCCGCACGTGACTGATGATGCTAAGTGTGCTTATTTTGAATATGACTGGTAGGAAGCATCTGCGTGTCTGTGTGTGTGGTATGAATGCAAGGTGAACAACGTTTGGGGTGGCAGTGTGAGACTTGGAGATGTCATCCTTAACAGCAGCAGATCTGCAGGCCTGTGATTTCCCTGCCTGTCTGTATTCAGCCCCTTGACTCCCGGTTTCCTAAAATGATACACCTAAAATATGACACACCCCGTGCACAAAGGCAAGGATTCTCCTTTCCCCCCTGGGCGCTGGCAAATAATTCTCAAAATTCAGTAGACTTCCTGACATTTACATCATGATCTTGGCTTTATTTATGCCATAGCCTGGCTTTTGCTCATTAAGAAATTGAAGGAATTCTTTCATTTCTTGATTAACTTTAAAAAAAAACAAACCCAACCTCCTTATTGTTAGACAAATTGAATGCAGTGGATGATGCCTGTCTGAAAATAAAATCTCATCAACTCCATGAATATCGTTACTGGCTCCGAAGGATACCAGCATATGCAATATTCTCCATGGTAGCAACCGAAGGAAAAGATCTTGGGCAGAGCCAGTTTTGTTCTGTTTTGTTCACCTGAACAAAGATAAACGAGAGACTCTCATTGAAACCTACCTTGGTACTCTTTGTTCTCAGCCTGCTCAAAGTTTTCCCTTACTTTAACTCTCTGCTCTAAGACAGCATATACTGGCCTGACTCTCCTCACTGGAACATTTTTTTGCCTGAAGGAAGTACTAACCAACACAGCCACTGGCTAAACAAAGGCAGTTTATTTCACAGGAGTTCTAAGAAAATGAATTCTTCGAATCTGAGTAGAGGCATTCAACCACACACCAAAAAAAAAAAAAAAAAACCCAGGAGTTTGGCAGTTCCAAAGGTCTCCCAAGATTTAGATTGCAGAGTGAGATAGTCTCACTGCTATCTTGGGTCACCTACCCACTTTTTTTGCCAGACTACACTGGGAAAAGGGTAGTTTTCTGCAGCAGAATCTGGGTACTACTAGATGGGGGTGTAGGGAAAGGTCTGCTGAGTAATCAAAATCAGCAAGGTCTTATAAATGGCCTTGAGCTTTGGGGTTGCTTTCTGCAAAAAGTTGCTGTGGCACATGTCATAGACTGAGTAGAGTACCTGCACCCAAAGGCAATGCTGTAAAGGCAAGATAAGTGGAGATCCCGTAGCCTTTGCACAAACTGTCATAATGTTCAGTACGGAGGGGTGATAACCCCATTGGGTCTTCTTTAAGGAATGAACTATGGGTACAAGGTATACCCAATCGGTAGGTGAGTGGAACTCACATCCTGAAGGATGCTGACCCATTGCCTGACTTTGGAAGTATTGGGGTTCAAGGTATATATGCATATTCCTCTTGTACCATTGCAGTCAGCCCTGTGACTTACTATGTAGTGAGTGTTTATCCTGAAAAAATGAGAGTCTGCCCAACTCATGGTGTTTTGGACTTTGAGCCTTTTGATAGAGTAAACCAGCCTTGTGCATGTGAGCCTTCAGCAGGGCCAGATAATTGATCTTGTCCTTGTAAGTGCTTCATCAGTGTTCAAAGCCTATTAGCCCCCATTGGTTTCTGCTGCATACAAACAATTGTCTCTGAGGGGTTCACGATGTGCGGAGAGGGCACAGTACTGACCGGAGTGAGTACGGTCTTGACATTCATTGTGATGAGGGCAACTTCCTGTTGCAGGGTTCTAAGCTCTTTGTTTTACATATAGTTTCATCTGTACTTTGCATAAGGGGAAACTATGCTAAATTAGCTGAATTGCTTAAGGTCACTGAGGTTGTAAATTGCAAATCTAGGATTCACACTTAGCTCCTCCGATCAGAAACTCTACTCCCCTGCCTATCACATAACATTTGTAACGTATGCCAATCTAAATTTGCAAAGAAACTGGGAATGGGATTCTGATACTTTTCCATTTTGAAGAAATCAGTTCCTACCTTTTCTTAGAAAACAACAAAGTGCAGTTTTGGGGTGATTTTCTTTTCTTTCTTTCTTTCTTTCTTTCTTTCTTTCTTTCTTTCTTTCTTTCTTTTAAACTGGAAAGTTACACAACAGTATGAACATAACAGGACCTACTTAGGCCTTTCTGGAAACAGATCATTTCAAAATACTGTGTTTGCCACAACCTGTTTCTAAATGCACACTGCTTCTCATAGATATTGCATTTCAGGATAGCAACAGGTAAGTGCATGGATTTTGTATTTAGGAACCTGGGTTCAAGTCCTGTCTCTTTCACTAATTGGCTATATCTGTCTCTGGAGAAGTTTTTTTTTGTTTTTAACTTTCTAGGCTTTGGCTTCTTGCACCTACCTCAAAGAATTATTGTGAGTCTTGAGGTAATACATTTGGAAAGGGTTGGGTGGGTAGGACGTGTACTATCATGAAGATGCTAGTTATATGAATTACACGGTGGTTGAGGCTACGAGTCTGAGACCTTCAGGGAACCATACACATCTACCCCACTGACTTTGACATAGTTAGGAACTATGTCAAATTACTCCTTTTCAAATTACTTACAGGTTACTCAACATACAATTTTCATAATGGATAATCTTACATAAACTTAAGCTTCCTGTTTATACATTTGCATATTATCTTGGGATTGGGTAAATGAACTCAGTACCTTAACTTCTAGGTGGGTGTCTACAGTGGTGCATTGTAGGTAAATCCTGACAGGCCTACCCAGTAGGTGCTGCTATCAAGACAACGTGTGAATAGCTACACTTATTTTGCCCAAGATAGCTCGGTTAGTTGATGCCTGTTGATGGGGCGTCACGCCAGCTTTCTCATCTTCTAGGCCTCTGCATGCCCTATTCCACTAAACTACCTTTTAGGCTTCTGCTTATTTGGGGGAAGGGGGGAAATTGCTTACTCTGCAAGAGTGTAAGACCACATCGACCCAGGAAAACAAGGGCTGGTCAGCATTTTTCCAGAAATTTTGTAGAAAAAGGAAGCATTGTGAATGCGATGGGAATGCCCAGGCCTCCAAGTCCAGATCAGCACTTACGAGATGAATCATAAGACCATTTTAGGTTTCCCAGAATAACTTGGCCCTTAAATTGTGGCACAAACAACTTCCAATTAGAGCTCTCTGGCATGAAGAGTGAGGCCTGAAAGCAGCTGCCTTGCCCTGAGGACTGTGGGAACAGTGGGGAGGCTGTAGGAGGGAGTGGTGGAGAGCCTGACATCTGGAGCCAGCCTTCTCATTCATAGGTCAGCTGAGGATCTCGGGCAAGTTGCTTTACCTTATAGGCCTCCATTTTCTCATCTAGAAAATGGGAATAATAGCACTTATAGCTTGGAGTTATTAGAAAAAATGAATTAAGACAAATGCCTGGCACACATTGGCCTCTGTTTTACATTTATTGTCATTATGTCCTCAGCGGGGACGGGCTTGCTAAATTATCTGGAGTGAGTTTGGTTTTCAAGGAGGGACCCCCCCTCTCCTCCATTTTCCTGGTTAATTTGCCAGGGCTTAATGGGGGATTAAGAAAGCCATGAGCAGCTGTATAATAAGTATAGAGACACTTTAGTGAGCACCTACCATGTGTCCCTGGTACTGATTATGTACATTTTCATCAAATCAACCCTATGAAATGGACATTGTCTTCGTTTTATAGATCAAAAAATTAAGGTTTAGAAAGCTGGCATGATTTTTCCCATGGTCACAAAGTGTCCCAGACTCAAACATCGTGAGTCTTACATTCCAAGCCACAAGCACTACCTGTCCCCCAAAACTGCAGGAGCCAGGCAAGCCTGGCAATTTGTGGCATACCCTAAAGAGGCTGAGAATCTAATAAAGATGTGATTGCTGGCAGCCATGGCTAGATGGAGAGCAGATGTGAGGGAGGGAAAGTAAGGCTATGAGGGGAGCAAGTCCAGAGGAAGACTTCTTCAGGCTCAGAAGGAAGCGGCCAAACAGCCCGCTGGCTGTGCCAATGGAATTTATAGATGCCAACTGCAATGATTCAGCCTAGGATAAAGAGAGAGTTTAAGTCAGTATGTTGGAGGTGAACCCTCACCCTACCCCAGCTCATGTCACATTTTTTCAGAGTGACACTTCTGGCCCCTCTTCACATGAGAGCAGAAAAATGACTGTCCTGATTGGTGAGTTTGTCAAGCTCTTCACTGGAACAGTGAAGGCACTTACTGTGCAGCCAAGGCCTGTGGCTTTCTAAGCTGACCTCGCGCTAGGTGAGTGAGCTCAGGTGTGTGGGGTTAGCAAGCCTACCAGCCTACCAGACCTAAAGCTATGTCCTCAACTCACCCTGACACCAAGAAGGACTGAGGTGTCTCTTAGTTCCAACTGATGCCAGGGATCAGGGGCATCAGGAATCAAACAGGATGGTAATCAACGGGAGGATTAGGGGGGAGGTTGAGGTGAATCAGTGCTTTGGAGTCCAGGGAGGGTAAGGTTCAGCTTAAGTTGAATTCAAACCTGCTCTAATTTTCATCACCAACTTGAGTTTCCTGGACATTTGTTTGCATAAATAACCACTGGATTTTGCCTTAACTCCCATGGTTTGTTTTTACTCCATAGATACCTCACCTCCATACTGGGTTTATCTTAGTGTATGTTTATTGTAGCATTTAGAGTTTTCTTGTGACGTTGTTAGAGAAAACAATTTTGTCATCAATTTTTTTTTCTTTTGAGACACAGTCTCACTTTGTTGCCCAGTCTAAAGTGCCGTGATGCATAGCTCACAGCAACCTCAAACTCTTGAGCTCAAGTAATCCTCTTGCCTTAGCCTCCCAAGTAGTTGGGACTACAGGCACCTGCCACAACATCCAGCTAGTTTTTCTATTTTTAGTAGAGACAAGGTCTCACTCTTGCTCAGGCTGGTCTCAAACTCTTGAGCTCAAGCAATTCACCTGTCTCAGCCTCCCAAAGTGCTAGGATTACAGGTGTGAGCCACCACACCTGTAATCTTCTTATTTTAACTCACTGGGTATAACTTCACAGATTATAATTAAGCCATCCAGTATAAAATCTGTTTATATTATCTTGGAGTTAAGAGAGTTAAGAAGGAAAAATCTGTAAATTTTTTCTCCTCAAGTAGATAAGTATAAGTAAAAACATGATTATAATGCTTCATTTAAAATACATAATGCAGAATCTCTTCCTTCCTAAGAGCTCTCACTATGTAATAGCAAGAGCTAATATTTACTGAGCACACACCAGAGCCAGGTTAAGATTGTCTCCTTTAGTCTTGCCAATCTAAGTGAGTAGGTGCCATTATGTAGAAGAAAAAGGAGGTTCAGAAAGATTCAGCCACACAGCCAAATAAATGGATCCAGGGCTTGGTCCTACGTCTGAGTCCAAACCCCTGGCTCTTACCACTACATATTTATGTAGTAGTGGAAAAAAGGCCTTTTCTTCCGCCCTCTAAGATTTAGTGCCTGGGACCTGAGAATTAAGCTGACAAAGACAGATTAACAGGACAAAAGATTTACTTACACATGCACACAGGAGCCTAACAGAAAAGAAGTGAAAACCCAAAGAAGTGGTTAGGTTTCAGAGTTTAATATACTATTTTAAGAAAGGGCAATAAATGAGCAGCGATAAGACAAAGGAGCTGAGAAACCTTTGTGGAAAGGTAAATATGGGGGGAGCTAAGGGTTGTTTGGTAAGGTTTGTCCGTAGACTCAACAGAAACAGTAAATACTGTTTCTAGTGATAAGTAGAATCGCCTTTTCCTGGCCTGAGATGGGGGAGAGGGCAGGGACACTTTCAAAAAGGGAAATTATGTTACCTTTAAAAAGGGAAATTTGTGTCATGTTTTTAGGTACAGAAAGGTAAGACAGTTCCTCCTGCATCTGCTGTTTCCCATTTGCCCTCAGTTCAAAATAATCCTTATCCCAAAGTGGCATATTTGGGGGTGGCAAATTCTGACCTCCTTCAGTTCCCACACTTACCACTTTTAAAAATTCCCCAATATTTATGGATTTCTATCTTTGAGCTGGTGCCTTGCCCTTAGGAGTTTATAGCTGAGCGTGGGGAAAGAAACGCTTCCCAGTTTCAGACAGGCGGGTCAGTGGGGATAGTCGCCCCTTGCAACTGGACAGTTTCCAAGTTTCCGGGTGTTTCATGCACACCAATCTAATGTCTGATCATCACAACCAACTTTATGAGGCAACCCGGTTCTGTTATGTCTATTTTATATAAAACCAACTTAAAAGTTAGGGAACTTGCCTAAGGCTACCGAGCTTGGATATTCGACTGTCTGCTTTGCTGCTATACACACACACACCCCAACACATGCATATGCATATTACATACACTGTCCACTTGTGGAGCTGGTACTGACTCTGACCTTGACTGGCCCTCACCCATCCTTGTTCATTCACTCCAGTGATCATCAGGCTCAGGCTCACTTGGAAAGGTATTTCCCTCCGGCTGTGGCTATACATGCTACTCATATAAATGAGTTGGGCATGTGAAACTGGTGAGCTCCCTGAGTCCAGCACAGGATTTCCTCTTGGGGGTTTGTGGCCTGTTAGCTCTTGATAATCCCTGTGTTTGGAAGAGAAACCGTATGAAAACACTCTCCTTGAGATCTATCACCGATTTAGACTACGGTTCCCTTTTCTGGAATCGACCACAACACCGCTATGTTTGACAGAAACATGGGTTGTCTCTAACAGCCATTCCCAGTCAATCTTCTTCTTTGCCTGCCTCCCACTGAGGAGGATGGAACGTCACTCATTTTCTCAGGCTTCTTCACAGAGCGGTGGTCAGCGAAGCAGTGAGGGCAGTGTGTGGGGCAGAGGGCAGGTTTCCAGGATATATTTTTTTTCTTAAGGAGAAGACTGAAGAAAGCTTTCTCTTGCAGCCCTGGCCAGTTCCCTGCTTCCCTCTTTTCAATGTAGGTATGTTGGGGAGTGACAGCTGGAGCGGGGCGGGGGCGGGGCGCTTCACAGCTAGGGGAGAAGCTCGTGGAACTGCAGGCCTGTGGAAATAGCTTAGCGGCGGGGTAGGCATGGGGCAGGGGTGACATCAAAGTTTGGGGAGCAAAAATCAAGGAGCGAAAATCAAGGGGTTGGACCTCAGTGGAGCTCCGCAGCCCTCCAAATGACGGGCGGGGCCTGCTGCCAGTGGGCAGGCCCACCTGCTGGGGCGGGGCCTCTAGACGTTCGAGTCCCACCTTCTAGGGGCGGGGCTAGGGCGGAAGGGTGGGCCGTGGCCTGTGGAACCTCAGAACACTGGCGACACCCGGCTTGAGCTCGCGTCTGCCGGCGCGGGGTTCCTCCGACGCAGCCTCTCATTCAAACGATGCCGAAGGGGCGGCGCGGCAGCCAGAGCCCCACGATGAGCCAGCGGCCGGCCCCGCCTCTCTATTTCCCATCCCTCTACGACCGCGGCATCTCCTCTTCGCCACTCAGCGACTTCAACATCTGGAAGAAGCTTTTTGTGCCGCTGAAGACGGGCGGGGCGGCAGCGGGCGGGGCAGCGGGGAGCCGGCCCCTGCCACAGGCGCCCTCGGCCCCGGCTCCCCCGCCGCCGCCACCACCCGGCCTGGGTCCCCCCAGCGAGCGCCCCTGGCCCCCGCCCTGGCCTTCCGGCCTGGCCTCCATCCCCTACGAGCCTCTGCGTTTCTTTTACTCGCCGCCGCCAGGGCCCGAAGTGACTGCCTCGCCCTTGGCCCCCGGCCCCAAGACCCCCTGGCTCGCCTCTGCCTCCCACCCCGAGGAGTTGTGCGAGCTGGAGATCCGGATTAAGGAGCTAGAGCTGCTCACCATCACTGGGGACGGCTTCGACTCCCAGCGCTGTGCGTGACCTTGCCGGGGCCACCCAAGCCCACCCTTAACCTGCCCTGGCTCTCTCCTTGGCCCTGGGCTGAGATTTCACCCCCAGGAGTCCCAGATCCAAAATCCATCACACAGAGTCCTTCTCTCGTCAGCTGACCCCTCTTCCCACCACAAATGTGAACTTCATGAACCTGTTAGTCCCAAATTCCATCCTCCCTTCCATCCCCGAGCCCTTTGAGTAACAGGACTCCGAGCCTCCAACACCTGAAATTCCTTCCACCACTACCTTCATTCTCAACTTTAGTCTTCCTGCGCAGTAATATCCTTACCTCTGTTCTCTGGAACTCCAGCCGCCACGAACAGCCCTATCTCTAGAGACCTGAGAGTTAATGTTCAGTAATAACCTGAGGCCCTCACTGGGAGGAGCGGGAAAGAGATGAGGGTCAGTTGGTGTTTTCAGGGGGAGGTGGGAATTGTGCAAGACCCAGAGGCCCAAGGATATTCACTGAGGGGGTTTGGGCTACTCCACTTCCCAATGCTGGAGGGCAGCTATCCTGGTTCTCCTATGCCTTGCATGGGTAGCCCTCTCATCAGGATCCTGGGCTTTGCCGTCTGATCTTAGGTTTGAAATCTTAGGGATCTGTTCCAGGGCAGACCAGGTGCACTGATACATGCAGGATTCCTCTGGTGTGCAAGCTGATTGATTCCTCCCTGTTGGAGGGTAAAATTACTACATCCACATGTTCTCCCAGAAGGACCTATTACAGAGGAGATTATTCAGTCGCCATGGGTTGTCCTGCAGACTTCGTCTTTTCCATCACCTGATCTGGCTAAGGCTTGCCCTTGACTGAAGGGCAGGTGGTTCTAAAAAGACCATCCCAACTATTGTATACAATAGGTTCGATTGACCCTAAAATTACCTAAATGCTTAGGTCCATTTGGCAGTGGTCAGAGGTCGTCAGTGCATCAGACATCCTGTAATGTACCCTTTTTCATAGCCATAGGGAAAACAGTCCCTAGAAAACATGGGCTTTTCTAAGTCCTGGATTTCCTAACTACAGTAGAACCTCTATAAGTTGACCACCCAAGGGACCGCAACAAACTGGTCAACACATGCAGATGGTCCACACGAAGAACCAGGCCTATTTACTATACTGATATACATGTGGGTTTTGTCTGGTTTGTGAAAATTAGGTCAACTTAAGAAGGTGGTCAATGTAGGGAGGTGGTCAACTATGGCGGTTCTACTGTACTACATATATATTCTCCAGTTAATGTGTTTAGGCTGTTAGGGTATTTTTCCCTCCCATCTTGGATCAGAAACGGGTTTTAGGTTCATCTGGGGGGCACAGCTGCTTCCCAGGAGTTTGGTTTGGAAGTGTTAAAAAAAAGCCTTTATCTCAATCACAGCTAAGTTTGTTTTGTTTTCCTGCAGATAAATTCCTGAAGGCGCTAAAAGATGAAAAGTTACAAGGACTGAAGACCAGGCAACCTGGAAAAAAAACTCCTCTCTCCTGAGAAGCTGCCCACCAGAGCTTGGGCAGCCGCCTCCTTAGGTGTTAGTGCTTAGATAATGCGTCCCATTTGTTGTCGTTTCAAAGATCGTTATTTTCTCTTCTGTATTTACTGCTGTTCTTGTTGCTCCCAGCATGTACTCCACAAACAGTGCCCACTTGAGTGGTAAATCTCACGGTCTCGCTCCTCTTTGTGCTGCTGCCGGGAAAGCTCTCTCGCCGGGTCTATACACTACTGCCCGGCTGCCATTCAGGGTCTCCTGAGACCAGGGGAGGGGCCCACAACGCTGCCATAGTCAGACAAAGCAGAATAATAAACATGTCAGGAGGGAACTGGGAGAAACCATGGGCGATACCTTTTGGGTTCTGCTGCTGCGTCTGCTCAGAAAGGTTCTTTGAAGACTAGAATAGTGGGGTTTTTCCCCCCAAACATATTTACTCCTTGAAAGTGTCTGGTGTTTTGCTTTGTTGTTGGTTTTTGAGATAGTCTCACTATACTGCCCTCAGTAGAGTGCTGTGGCATCACAGCTCACAGCAACCTCAAAATCTTGGGCTTAAGTGATTCTCTTGCCTCAGCCTCTCGGGTAGCTGGGACTACAGGTGCTCACCACAATGCCCGGCTATTTTTTGTTGTAGTTGCCATTGTTATTCAGTTGGCCCGGCCCAGTTCAAACCCGCCAGCCTCCGTGTATGTGGCTGACGCCATAATCACTGTGCTATGGGTACCGAGCCTGCTTTGTTTTTTAAAATATGTTTTGAGCCACAGAACTCTGATAACCTTATCAAAATCATGACCCATCCTAGAAAGTCATACATTCAGGCTGGGCACAATGGCTCATGCCTGTAATCCCAGAACTCTGGGAGGCCGAGGAGGGTGGATTGCCTGAGCTCATGGGTTCAAGACCAGACTGAGCCAGAGCGAGACCTTGTCTAAAAATAGCCAGGTGTCATGGCAGGTGCCTGTAGCCTCAGCTACTTGGAAGGCTGAGGCAAGAGAATCACTTGGGCCCCAGAGTTTGAGGTTGCTGTGAGCTTTAATGCCACGGAACTCTACCAAGGGCAACAAAGTGAGACTCTGTCTCAGAAAAAAAAAAAGAAAGAAAGTCATATATTCAAGAAATATTGATGAGTGATGATGGGCCTACGCACCCTCTTAGGCACTTGGGATTAGGGTGGGAGAGAGACACAATGAGTATTATAGATAAGTAACTCATAATATGGTATCATAGATAAGGACATGCTAAGAGGAGGAGACAGTATGGTAAGGATAATCAGGAGGGTCAGAGGAAGGCAGGATGGAATTTCATATACTATGATGTATAGAGTTTCTTGAAGAGGTATAATTAAATAAGGTCTGAAGGAGGATGAGAGCCACAGCTACATGGCAGCCGGGGAATGTTCCAGGCAGAAGGGCCAGTACAAAGGTTTCGGGCAGGATCGTGGCAGCATTTTTGAGGGCCAGTAAACTTTACAGACAGCTAAAGCAGGAGGAGAGAGAGGTGTGTACAGAGGGGGCTCAGAAGAATGCAGAGGGGGCTCACCGAGTAGCCATGGTGAGGGCTTTTCTCTGAGTAGGATAGGGAGGTGAGAGGGAGGTGAGAGGACTTTGGGGGTGCATCATCTGACCTGTGGGGTTAAAGCTTTGCTTTGCTGCTGTGTTATGAATAGACTATAGGAGTACAAGCAGGGAGAGCAGTTAGGAGGCTGTAGTGATTAATCCAGGGGACAGGACCACGCTGATAGTAATGGATGTGGTAAGAAGTGATCAGGCAATTGGAGTACAGAGGTGTGGTGATCCGAGGTGGAATAGGTTGGGGAGAAGATCAGCAGTTTAGTCTGGGGTATGTGGAGTTTGGTTGCCTAATAGATAGCTGGTAGCTGGTAGATGCTGTGCGGCAGGAGGCTCTGTGCACCTGGAGTCTAGGGGGAGGCCTGAGCTGGAGGTATAAGCTGGAGACTTGCTGACATGCAGACATACTCAAAGGGTGAGGTCAGATGGAGTCAGCAAGGGAGTGAGTGCAGGAAGAAAGAGAACCAAAGATTGAGCTTGGAGTCACTCTCATTTGAGAGGCTTGGGGAGAAGAGGCAGCACTTGCAAAGGAGAATAAAAAGGAGTGGCCAGTGAGCCAGGGGTCTTGGAAGCCAAGTAGGAAAGGAGAAGGGGATCAGGCACAGTGGCTCTCATCTGTAATCCTAGCACTTTGGGAGGCCAACCCAGGAGGATCACTTGAGCCTGGGAGTTCAAGACCAACGTGGGAAACATAGCAAGGCCCTGTCTCTACAAAAAAAAAAAAAAAAAGAAAGAAAAGAAAAGAAAAGAAAAAGAAAAAAAGAAAAATATATATGTGATATGATAGATCGATGATAGATATAAAAATTACCCACATGGTGGTTAGGAGTTCGAGACCACCCTGGATGACACAGTAAGACCCATCTCTAAAAGTAATTCAGGCTGAGTATAGTGGCTTATGCCTGTAATCCTAACACTCTAGGAAACCAAGGTAGGTGGTTTGCTTGAAGTAAGGAGTTCATGACTAGCCTGAGCAAAGTGAGACCCCTCTCTTTACCAAAAATAGAAGAACTAGCCAGGTGTGGTTGCAGGTGCCTATAAGTTCCAGCTACTTGGGAGGCTGAGGCTGGAGGATCGCTTGAGCCCAGGACTTTAAGGATGTCATGAGGTAGGCTGATGCCATGGCACTCTAGTCCGACAGAGTGAGACTGTGTATCAAAAATATATATTTTTCAAATGTATGCCTATAGTCCCAGCTACTCAGGAGATACCGGGGCAGAAGAATCACTTGAGCCCAGGAATTCAAGGTTATAGTGAACTATGATCATGCCACTGCACTTTGGCCTGGGTAACAGAGCAAGAGACCGTGTCTTTAGAAAAAAAATAAAAATAAAAAAGAGTGATTGAGAAAGAAGTAGGGAGGGAGTGTGATCTGTTCTGACAAAGACTGCCTGAGAATTCACTCTTGCATTTAGGAATGTGGATTTAGTGCTGGTGATCTTGCCAGGGGCAACTGGGCTGAGAGATGAAATAACACCTGGGGCTGGACAGTTTTAGGAGAGTGTGGAAGGAGGTACAACAATGGGAGATGACTCTTTACCTACAAAGGAGAGCAGAGGACCTGGTTGCCCAAGTGGGGGGTAAGAACACTTTATTAAGGTGGGAGAAATAACCACGTTTGTGGTCTGAGGAGAACAATCCAGCAGAAAGAGAAAAAGCGATGATATAGAAGAGAGCTGGGAAATCGCTGAGTGCTATCCTTGAGTGTTTAAGAGGCGTCCTAAAGGGGTTTGGGTTTGAGGAATGAAGGGGTCGTGACGGTGGACTGAGCAACTCAGAGAGGAGCCCTCCCGAGCCAACCTTGGGTCTGTATTCATTATTATAAAGCAGGAAAAAGTAGTTAAAAGTCAATTTTCAGCATTAAAAAGGAGGAACATGAAAAGTGTCAGAATGTCTCCAGCTTGTTTTTGCAAAACTGCAGACCTTAAGCAAAACCTCTGCCTCCAGTGTCAAGAGACCTTTGGAATCTAGAGAATCTTTATCATCACCATTAGGCCTGTATTACCACACCTTGTGTGGACATTCTCCCTTAGAGCACGAACACAACTCACATGATATTCTCGTGATTCCTTAGGTCTCTCAAACAGAAGGTTGAGAGAGGTCTATGTTAAAGATCAGGGCACAATTTTCCTTATGGCATCCTTCATTCTGTGCTGCTATAACAGAATACCATAGATGAAGTAATTTAGAAAACACAGAAATTTATTTCTTCTAGTTCTGGAGGCTGGAGAGTCCAAGATGAAGGCTCCAGCAGGTTAGGGCCCTGTCTACCTGCTTCCAAGAGGACACCTTGAACGTTGTGTCTTCCAGAGGGGAGGACTGGTTGTGTTCATGCAGCAGAAGAGCAGGAGAGGAGAGGGAACCCATTCTCACAATCGCTAAACACCTGCCATTAGGCCCCACCTGCCAGCACTGTTGCACTGGGGATTACATTCCTAAGGCATGTATTTTTTGAAGTGGACAAAAACATTCAAACCATAGCAGGGAGGATGAGTTCAGAGTGGAGAGATTAGCTTTAGAGGGAGCAGAGATGGTTTATCTCTAGGAATAGGGGTTACATCTGTGGCATGGGGGTGCAGATGCTGGTAGATGGGTAAATGGGAGGAATTTGCATAAACACACACACACACACACACACACACACACACACACAGGTCTAAGCAGCAGCCTCCAGCTTGAAAATGCAAATAGACCTCCCTTCGTGGCTGAGCTGGGATCCCTGGAACCGAGTGCAAGGAGCCAGGCAGAGATTGAGAGCAACCGACCTCATGTCTAGTACAGGGCAGGGGATACTAGTTCTAGCTGGTTGTTGCCCAGGCAGGAATGTGGGCAAAGGGTAAGGTGAAAGCTTTGATTTCCACATCTTAGCAATGAATTCATGTTTCCAAAACATTATTCAGGCTATGTCAGCTAAAGGTGAAAAGCACCCTATCCCCAAGTTGGTAACCTCTGCTCTCTACCCACAGAGTAGGAATCACCTTGGGGATTTCAGCCTGTCTGCCTGCCCCAGAAAGACAGATTTGAGTTAGAGAAGTCCCCTTGTTCCCTTTGAAGAAGTCCCCTTTGAGTTAGAGAAGTTCCCTAGAAAACTTCAGGTTGGCAGAGGGGGTAAGGGGAGCTGGAAAAGCTTAGAAGAATAAGTGAGAGTAAGCCAGGCAGCTGGAAAACCCAGCACAGAGCTCAGATGCAGATGGAAGTGTCGACCGGGGACCTTGTTTCCCTCCCAAGTCCCACCAACCCTCCCTAGCTGCGCTCATAAAAGTGGCATCCTGGTAAGCCCATACCTGGGGCTGGGCACCGAGGAAGTCCGGGATTCGCATAATCTCCTCTAATTCTCACAACCGCCTTGTGAAACGGCACTGCTCTCCCCTTGTTTTACAGATGAGGAAGCAGAGGCTCTGAGCAGTTAAACGACTTACACACAGACACAGAGGCAGGCCGTGGCAGGGGCAGGTGCGGAACTCCGGTCAGTCAGGGCTACCCTGAGCTCTCCTGGGTGAGACACAGATGCAGGAGAAGCCTGAGGTGGGCCATAGAAAAGAGACAGTTGGCATTTCATTTCTTCTGAGGAGCTCTTTTCCCCTCACAGCCCTCAGGGGTGTTTTGGTGTCTTTGTAAGAGGAGGTGGCAGGGCAAGCAGAGAAGAATAATGATGCAAGGCTTGCTGGGTCCTGGCCCTCAGGGTCCACACAAAGCCGGAGCCACCAGGACATCCTCAGTAGGTAGGGCCCCCTTTCTGCACCC